TTCCTGGGAGCTGATCTCCCAAAATAAGACCCTTATGCTCTCTTGATTAATGACATGTTTTGGTGGTATAGTTTCCTGGGTTAAATATATGTTCTACAGAGATAATGGTGTGGAGGAGGGGAGGGAGGAAGAAAGAGACAGAGAGAGAAATGTCTCAGTGCACTGGCAGAATTTGATAGACATACAAAGACAGACCTCTGGAAGGCCTGCAGCCCGGAGGAAGAGAACCAAGTCACCCTGTTCTAAAATAATGATTTGCTTTTACTAGCAGCCTGTTGCTGAACCAAAATTTCATTTGTAAGATATGCAATGATTCTTGATCAGCGTGACCAATCATGATCCATAACCATAACAACTCTGGATGTAATCTTGGAGATTTCCCTCCCCAACTCTGATATTTCTCCCTTCCTCTTAAAAGAGCTACTGCACAGAATTCCCAGCACGTGCCCGTAGAGTTAGTTTAATGCTATTCGTCTAATTTAGCAAGTTTCCCCATCATGTGGCTCCTCAAATACTGTGTTCAAATAAATGCATTCCATAATATGATTTCCCTTTGTATTCAACCTGTTCTACTCATTCAATTTAGTTCATTTTGTTCAGTTAGTAGGCAAAATCCTTAACCCACAATCCAGCCCCTTTCTGCCAAACAGGAGAAATATAAAAAGCCTCTAAAAGCCCCATACAGGCAACCCCCGCTATTTCCTTCATTTAAAATTGATACCTATTTTCACTGAGCGCTCAGCCAGTTTTGCTATAGCGCTCAATGGAATCAGTGAGGAGAAGGCAGCACAGGCAGGGAGAAGCAGCAGTGGTGGCAGCAGCGAATGGGTGAGTGGCAGTGAGCAGGCAGGGCGTGGGGGAGAGAAGAAACAGTGGCAGCGGCAAGTGCAGGGCCCCCACCTGGGGCGGCAGGACCATCAGTGTCCAGGACCATGTTGGCAGGGGCCCGCACGCAGAGCGAGGCAGCAGGAGTGCCAGTCCCCAGGGTGGCACGTAGGGCTGAAGCAGCTGGTGGGTGGGCAGGGAGAGACAGCGATGGTGAGAAGCAGCAAGTAAGCGTGGGGATGAGCAAGAGCACAGGGCCTGTGCCGATGCCTGAGCCGGCAGAGGAACAGGGCAGGGCAGCAGGAGCATTGGTCTGGGCTGGCACGTGGGGCTGGAGAGGCAACGGCGGTGAGAGGCAACGGTGAGAAGCAGCGTTAACCAATTCTTTCTATTTACATTCATTCCTATGGGGAAATGGATTTTGCTTAGCGTGGTTCTGCTTAACACTCGGTTTTTCTGGAACCAATTAAGAGCACTAAGCAGGGGTTGCCTGTATTTGTAAGACTCTCTTGCAAGCTCCAGAGCACGAGACAGAAAGGACACACCAAGGATGGGTCTCTTTCTATGCAGGTATTCTGGGAAGTACAGCAATTCCTAGGTTGCATCATGGCACTCTCCAGCCTCTAGTGCAGCTCAATATTTGAAAGGGCACAAAAATAGTTTAAATCTCACCCACTACTTCTGCTCATGCAATGGGTGTGGCTTAGATACCAAGGAGAGCCAAGTGCAACTGCATTTATGTATTCTTTTATTCCCCAAAGTTTCACTGGGTGTGGCATTCTAGAATTTGCTGGATGTCTGCATCTAAAATAAAATGAAAGTGCAGGGCTACACCCTGTTACCCCACTAAATGGCCTACACTTTGGTATCCATGGGAAGATTTTGCTTCAGATGTAAAAGGACACTCAAATTTCGTCTCTAGTTAAAATTCTGTCAAAGTGATTTTTTATCAAACATAAGAGAAACAGCAGTTTCCACAGATCTCTTTTTTTTTTTAAATTTAAATGAAAACTCTGGCCTTTAAAAAGAATGTATAACTAAGCATTCCAACAAGAGGAACCTAGAAGTGAAATGGACTGTAAACAGTTTTCATTATCCATATTGAGAAAAATGCAAGATTGAAAAGACAATAGATTGTGACAAGAAAATTGGACTTCACGAAATCCTTTCACTTTTAATAATTTAAGAAGTTATTTGTATATAAATTTCTTAGCATAAGTGAAAGACAAGACTACATGAAGCCAGATTCTCCACTGCTTTGAACCTTGCACAGCCATTCACATCAATACAAGTTGGATAAAAAATATTACCAACTCAAAATGGCACACTTTTATACTATACAAAGTGCAAGGCAATGACTAATCACTTGTAATTTGACAATATTCCATTCTTAAGCCATGTGCACATATGCTTCTCATATGTATGGACCTATCTAAATCGTGGTTTCATGGATTTCGTGGAAACTACGGAAAACAGCATTGTCACGATAGCCACAATCACCGCCAGCACTGGCCGTGACTTCCCGCAAAATGAACAAAAAAAAAGTGGTACTGACACAGACGGAGTGCAGGCATCCTCCATCAATTAGCGGCAATGGGCGGAGCAAAGAAAGTGGTAGTGACATAGACTAAATGAAGGTACTCTCTGCCAATCAGCAGCAAGAGGAGGGGTTGCTGGGCCCCTCCACTAATCAGTGGTGAGGAGGAGTGAGGCCACCGTGAACTGCCTGCAAAATTGGCACTGTGCATCATAAGCAGGCTGCAAAAAAAAAAATTGTCTCACGGCAACTTAGGTAGGTCCCTACTCATATGTGTCCATATTTCCTTCCTGAGACAATATGAGAGTCAGGCATCTACATTTGGATCAACAATTACATGGTTCAATTTCTGTATGCTTTCAATTCAAAGATATTATGTGTAATAAGGGGGGGGTCCCAGGCACCCAAAGAGATCAATGCTTTCCCCTCCCCACCCTCCTTTAGGGCAGTCTGCCCTGCACTCTCCTACCATGCCTTTGATGTGAAAAGGTTACATCAAATCCAGGGGCCTGCCCCATTTGCAGCCCTGGTGTACTGGGCTGATCATACAGCTCTGAACCATCCCTATACCATGTCCCATGCCTTGCAGATGGCATCCCATTCTCCTTACTCCTTCGGCCCTTCATTGGGCTGCACTTGGCTTCTGGCCCACTCTGGCCTCAAGTCCCACTCAATGGGCCTTGACCCCTTGGCCCCTCACTGGGTCACGCTCTGACCCCTTTACTCTCTGTAGGCCTCAGGTCCCTGCCAGTGGACTGTGGCCCCATGCCTTTCCCCTCTAAAGGGTGACCCACAAGGCAGAGGGGGCTAAGGCTTCTCGGCACCCCACCCTCACCTTTCACAGGGGAGGCACAGGTGTGGCATTTCCTGGGGGCTGCCCCGTCGCAGACAGTCCAAGCACACCATCAAGACCCAGCAGAGCAGTTTCAGGTATAACCCGGGATTAGCAGGAACCTCCTCCATCCCCGTAGTTCCTACCCTCACCTCCAGGCATTACCAGAGCTGCAGTCCTCAGGCCAGGTGATGTTACTTCTTCAGCTCCCCAGATGCAACTGCAGGCCCAGTTTTCCAGACCTGGGCTTATACTCTGTCTGCCCAGCCCTCCTCCAATGAGGCGGCCCTCTGCAGTCAGGTGACTACCTAATTGGGCCTGAACCCACCTGCCGGCTACTCCACAGCCTGCCTAATGGTCTTAAAAAGTGGCAGGCACAACCAGTGCACTGCCGCACTATGCATGATGCTTGCAAATGAACTTTGGTTACTATGTGTGTATCATTTACATAGTAACAGTTCTCAATACAATTATGTAATACCTCAGATTTTAGAAAAGCCTACACACAAACACACGCAACTGGTTGGCCCTTTTATCTTTGCAAAATGCATTTTTATTGTTCTTCCCCTTAGTTTTACTAAACACTTTTTAAATATCTTGGCTTTACAATTACTCCTCAAGACCTGTCCATACAGATATTAAATCTTATTCATAAACTGAAATACCTTTAAAAGATCCGTCTGTGTTTAGTCAACCTCTTTATTGTTTTATTTAGAATTCTATTCCACCCTATCCAAAAAGGCTCAGAGCAGCTTACAATTAACAGACAAACAACCCACAGATAGGAAACAACAATGTGTGCACATTTGTTAACTTTACGTTCTAAATTCTATTTGATTCTGATATAACACTCTTGATTCATTTTCATTAAAGTTACCCAATAAATTACTCTATGCTCCTAGCATTGGGGGAACTAATCCTTTCTGGAAAAGAAGCTGCTTTCTGTCCTGCAACAATACAGCCTAGGAGCCCCAGTCTTGGACCAAGGCACCATTATGCTAGGTACTGTGCAGGCAGAGTAAAATGACAGTCCCTACCCCAAGAAGTTCAGGGCCCCAAGGGCCAGATGAAAGGCATGAGGTCAGTCTGCAGGCCAGATATGAAGTGCAGGATTGTGTCATGTGGCCCGCAGAACTGGAATTTGGCAGCAACAATGTTAATTGCTCTGGCTCCTAGAGCCACAGCAACTGCCACCCCCCTCCCTCCCCAATTTCCAGCCCTGCTGCTCTGGATCTGGTCCAAGGATCTCCCCACAGGTCAAGAAATTTGGCAGCAGGACAAGTGATGGCAGCAGTAATTGTTATGCCTGGAGCCACAGCAATTAACACTGCCATCACTCACTATCCTGCCAAATTTCTAGTCCCATAGGATGAATGACAGGACTAGATCTTGATCACCCCCGCTCTAGACTATAACCTAGTGGAATCACACGGGGCTCAGTGAGTAATTCAACTCTGTTTTCATGAAAATTCTTTGTTACTTGCCTCCAAAACACTGTTCCCCTAGGCACTCCCACTGTGGATAAGAAGGGTCCCAAATAATCCTCTACAGGATTACATTTATGGCTTCTTTCTTATACATATTTTTTCCTTAGCTTAAATGGAGTGAAGTACTATTAATAAAGTATTCTGCAATACTTAAGTAGTTATGCAAAGAGATGAGGGTTCCTCCAAATTTTACTTGGGAATTCTTAATTCAAACTAACAAAACAGAGACATTTCAAGAGTGTTTTGAAATCAACTTAGGGGATATAAAGGTTTATTGAACTGAATGTCATTTATGAGAAGACTGTCTTAAAGAACACCCAGGAGCCTGTTCTTCCAATGCTGCAAAATGAGGAAAGAACTAACAAGATGGATCATAGGAAAATAGGGCTGGAAGTAACTACACAAGATCATCCAGTTGATGTTAGCACAGACAGGAGTTAAATCCTCCATGAGCTGATGGAAACACTGATTCCAACATGCATATTTTTGCAATGGATGTTCCACACTAAGGAAAAATGTGTTGGAGGAGAGAGGTAAGTTTAAATCTGGGATACTAACTAGGGTTGGAAAAGTCAGCATCTTTCAGCTGGACCTGTTAGTTCTGCTGCTATGTAGATCCCAGTTAAAGCATAAATAGTAGGGGTGCAAGAAACGGGCCATATTCGATTTGGATTCAGCCCAAATCGAGGGACAGTGATTTGATTCATTGATTCAGATCACTGTTCTGATTCGATTCAGCTGAATCTGAAGATTCAATGCTGATTCGGCCATAGACACAGCTTTAAATGTTTTTTCTACATACCTCGAGGTACCAGGCGCCGCTCATGAACGCTGCAATAGCGGGGGCGAATGGAGCATCCCACAGGAGCACGGGGGGGGTCCCCCACATGCTGGGCAGTGGACCCGGAAGTGGACTGGAACTATTTCCAGTCCACTTCCAGGTCTGCTGCCGAGCGCATGGGAGACCCCCCGGCCTCACCCCTCCCCAGCTCAGCAATCAGCCACAGGGGGGCCCCAGGTGAACCCCCAGACCCAGGAGGCACCAGTCACTGAGCCGGGCCGGGGGGGGGCGAGCGGGCAGGGGAAGGATCCGCCACTGAGTGCACGGGGGCCCTCCCCCAGTGCTCTTGTGGGACACTCCATCTGCCCCAGCATCTCAGCATTCACAAGCCACCTGGTACCTCAAGGTATGTAGAAAAACCATTTAAAGCTGTGTCTCTGTATGAATCATCGAATCTCTCCAAATCAATTCTTCAGAAGGTTCCGATTTGATTTGGAGAGATTAAAGTGTCTCCTCATTCAATTTGGATTTGGAAATTAGGCCACCAAATCAGGCTGAATCTCTACCGAATCAAATCAGTGACCAAAGCTTCGTACAGCTCTAATAAATAGGAGCCTCAGATTATGCCAACAGCCCTGTTTTCTGCTGGAAGACTCAAAACCAACTGTGATGCATTACAAAACTATTGAGTGTTTGATGCACTGCACAGGAATATAAAGGTCTTTCAAAGATTTAAAAAAAATGTGGTGGCCAATATTTTTGAAAAAGGTAACAAAAGGAAAAACAGGAGTTTCACAGATTCATAGATGTTAGGGCCAGAAGAGACCTCGATAGATCATCAAGTCCGACCCCCTGCATAGGCAGGAAAGAGGGCTGGGTTCAGATGAATCCAGCCAGATGCCCATCTAACCTCCTCTTGAAGACCCCCAGGGTAGGGGAGAGCACTACCTCTCTTGGGAGCCCATTCCAGATTTTGGCCATTCTAACTGTGAAGTTCTTCCTAATGTCCAGTCTAAATCTGCTCTCTGCTAGCTTATGGCCATTATTTCTTGTGACCCCCAGGGGCACCTTGGTGAGTAGAGCCTCACCAATTCCCTTCTGTGCCCCCATGATGAATTTACAGGCAGCCACAAGGTCGCCTATCAACCCTCTCTTGCGGAAGCTATAGAAGTCCAGGTGCCCTAGTCTCTCCTCGTAGGGCTTGGCCTACAAGCCCTTAAACATATGAGTGGCCCTTCTCTGGACCCTCTCCAGGTTATCCACATCCCTCTTGAAGTGTTATAAAATAACGATGCAGGCAATGGTTAAAATGACATGCAGGAGAAAAAACAAGCTACAAAAATATGATAGCTAGACACAGGTCACACAGCTGTGACACAAAAGGCAGGGATTATAAACAAGAACCCCAAAATGTAAAGGAATTGAGTATTAAGAAATCTGAAGTATGAGCCAATTACAGTTACATGCTCAGAAAATCTTGTTCTGTACAGTATCTCTTTTTCAGCAAGTTTTGTTTCCTCTTTGATCCCATAACTGAAGTTGGATGTGCAATGTGCAGACCTGTGCCTTTGCAGATATGACTAGGGCTACGACCTATGCCCTGAAATATGATGTATGCAGGCAGCCCCCTGCTTTTACATAGAAACCTTGGGAAGTTGCTTGCATGAATCCAAGCACCAGGCTAGGAGTGCAGGTCTCTGTCCTGGAAAGCATAAAATCCGTCTGGGTACAAGCATCTGTTATCTTACATGTCTAGAAAGTGCCACACTCACCTATGGGTGTAATGTAAGTAGAATAATAATCTTTGCATGAGACATCATTCAATTCTTCTGCCTAATTTGTGACCTGTATTTTAATTCACAAGCATTAATGATTTAGATTCTCTCTTTTTTAAAATTCATAAAGATCTGTCCATGGCCACCTCTGTCAACTTGGTAGTGATCTTATCATCAAGGAAGTCCTACATGAAACAATCGTCAAAATGTGCTAATACTGTACTTAGCTATAATCACCTGCAAGAAATACCACAACTGCAGCAGAAAGCTGGAAACAAAGCAACAACTCAAGGGTATGCCTATAAAACCTCTACCATCAAATGACATCCAGCCACCAGACAGATTTTAAAATGGACATCAAAGGAACATCAGACATTAAAAAAAAAAAATGAAAGGTTCTACTCTATAGTTGTGACTAGGAGGAGGGTGAAAGTAGGAGGGTCCCAGGCAGGTAACAGAATTTTGCACCTGCATCTCTGTTTTACTAACCACCTCATCCAAGCCCGTGCTTTATCTTATGCTTCCTCTAAACGTTACTGGTTAACTGCACAATTACCTGGAAACCAGCTATTCATACAAAGTAGTTACCATGCCATAAAAAGCTCCACCCAACTATAAAGTTAGATCTTGAAAATGCGTACTAACTTTATAGTTGTTTACTACCGAGCTTTAATGTGCACATGTAGTGGGGTCTCCCTTGCAGCTAGGAGCCCCAACAGCTGATGGAGCTCCCAGCCACAGATGTGCACCATGCCCAGCTGAGGCTAGGAGTCCCACAGCTGAGAGGGACACTCAAATCCAGCAGCTACCGACTCTGAGTCCCGGCAGGACAGACACTGGACATCTGGACTCAGCCGAGTCCTGGCAGCCAGCAGCGTGGCGTCTCTTGGGGTGCTTGAAACTCCCAGGGCTGCAGGATCACAGCAGCTGCAATTGCCACAGCGCCGGGGGTTCACACACTCCTGAGGCTATGGAATCACAGTGCCCCCACAGCTGGGTGGCCCTCAACACATGGCATGGCAGGAGGCACAATTGTGCGGATCATGCATTAGATCCAACCATGGCTTTACCTACATAGGCAGATGGGAATTTAGGATTTGGGTGTGGGGGTGCTGGTTGTACTTTTTGGGG